ATTCTGCCTTTTCTCTGTCCCCTGTTAACTTTTTGCCATCTTCTCAACTGCCATGGTTACATCCTATGGAATCCTGATAGTCTGATGAGCCACTGCAATGCTCTGGTTGAGAAGTCTAAGTGCCTCTCTCTAAACTGAAAATCCCAGGATTTCATAGGACAGAACCATAAACAATATCACACTACACTGTTAAAGCATTATCATTCCCTGTTAACTAGAATTCAAAGATATAGCTGTGTTGTAGCACCTTTGAGACTAAGGGCCTCTACAGATGGGCCCTTTAGGCCATCCTAAAGGCAGGGAAGTGGAGGGGGAGCCGCACGCCGGCCACTTCAACCCCTCCCTGAGGACGTCTTGATGCCACATGCCGTTACGCATGGCACACAGTGTCAGGACGTCCTTCCGGCACAGCCTTTTGATGCGCTGCGACGGAAGGGGCACCAAAGAGCCGCGCGCTCTGAAAGGAGTGGCATTTTGCCACTCTTTTCCAGGCCGGAAAAAGGGAGGATTGGGGCTGACGTGTCCAGCAGCCTTGGCCCTGACCCTCCGTTTCCTGGCGCGGCCTAGGGCCGCCCATCTGCATTCCCACCTAACTGAAAGAAAGAAGCTGGCAGGTTTTGTAGACTTAAGTCTAGGCATCTGAGGAAGTAGACTTAAGTCTGCAAAAGCTCATGCTACCAATTTTTTTCTTTCAATTAATAATAATAATAATAATAAAATGTATTTATATCCCGCCCCTTTGAGATCAATCAGGGTGGCTAACAACAATAAAAAATACAATATAAAATACAACACAGTCTAATTCCCTCCCCCCCTTAAAAAGTCATTAAACCAATAACAAATATTGACAATTAAAACACATCAATAAATATACAACCATACAGAACGGCAGCTGTAGCTCTCATTAAATCTTCGAGGGGGGGCTTGAGAACTTCTCTGAGGGGGGGTTACAAGATCTCTCAAAGGTGTTACAAGATCTCTCTGCATCCATTTTAACTGTTATGGCTGCCTCCTGTGGAATCCTAGGCTTTGCAGTTTAGGGAGGGCTGTTTAGAATTCCCAGCCAGATAGCTCTTAGGCCTCAATAAACTACAAACCCTAGAATTCCACAGAAGGCAACCATAGCAATTAAAATGATATTGTCTCATGACTGTTAAAGTGGAATAATAGTGCTATAATTCTGTAGTGTGCGAGGGTCCCAGGAAACAGAATCTTGACAGTCACAATTTTTAAAGACCCTGAACTACAACCATTTTCTCCGTGACCACTTCTTTACATGCTTCTATATGTCAGTAGCTGTCACTGTTCCTGTGGAGAAGACTTAACCTCTGCAGTTGGGGAACTTGGCATGCAAGCAAACCTTCCCATCATCCCTGATGCTGACAGTCATCATCATGACGAGCATTGAGAATCATGTGCATCACTGATGGGCAAGACTATCCTTTCCAAAGGTCCTTGAAAAGTATTAGTTGTTGTTGTGTGCCTTCAAAGTCATTTCTGATTTATGGCAACCTTAAGGCAAACCCTTCATTGGATTTTCTTGGCAGAATTTATTTAGAGTGGGTTTGTCTTTGCTTTCCTCTGAGGCTGAGAGAGTGTGATTTACTGAAGATCACCCAGTGGGTTTCCATGGAGAAGCAGGTATTTGATACTAGGTCTCCCAATGTCCATGTTCACCATCCAAAGCACCACAGACTTTTCTACCTGCCCATGCTACCTGTCACAGTGATGGATATTTTTCTTGCACTCAATAAACTGAATGTTAGAAGTGTCAAGTGCTGAAAGTGACCTGTAACTTGCTGTGGGAGTTCAGTGTTTATACAGCACTGTCAAAATGCATGGGGAACAACTATGACAGAATCCTGCCACAAGGGGCTTACAGTTGAATATATATGGCATTTCAGGTAGAAGATTTACCTTCTGTTCTCATTCTCCGCTGCATTCTAGAGATGGGCTTGAACTGATTCCTGATGAATACTACTGCAATAAACTCCTTAGTTGTGTTTATTTATTTTTCTGTCCACTTGTTCCTCTCCTAACCACATCATGTCTGACATGGGTAGTTTGCAAATACTGGAGAGAAATGAGGACTTTACATTCTAGCACCACCATTCTAGCACCACATCATTATTGTGGCAGGATGTATGCTTCCCTTATTGTGGTGTTTCACCTTTGGAATCATTAACCAGTATTATTTTAGGGAAAAGGGGAAGATAAAAAAAATTACCCTGCGTTATCCTTTGTTAATTGGGATCTGAGATTGTCAGTGTTTCAACCTAGCAGTGCTAAAAATGAATGTGGTAGTTATTTTGTACAAATTGCAGTCATTTGGTTTTATTGACTGATTTAGAAATCTTGGGTGTGGAGTTCTTCAGATCACCTTCATTCCATCCACTTTCCTTATGTGAGAGGAAATAAGAGTCTCCATAACCACTTCAGGTGGGCTTTTTCTATTTCTTTTCTTTGGAATCATATGGAAGTATATAGGCAGAGTTCACAAACTGGAGTTGTCTGACTAGTTGGGTTTAAGAAACATAAAGTGTTCCTCGTGGGGCCTGTCCTCTGCCAGTTTGGAAAAACTCAAGTGTTCAGAGAGTTGCTAATCTCATACTTGAAGTATAGTAAATTCCTGGCAGACTAATGGTCTGTTTCAGGCTATTAACAGAGATGGAAATTCACAAAGAAAATGAGTCTAAACAGTTCTTTCACGCTGTATGATAGCAAGAATGGACAGGCTTCTAATGCTCCAAATGTCTCTTTTTAAGTTTCTCTTCACAAGTGCGTAAGAATAAATGGGTTTTTCAATTCCACCAACAGG